AAATATTAAAAATGAAGACTTCAAAATAAATGAGAAATGACAAAATTAATGTTCCCATCAATTTCAAAACAATTAGAAAAACTATGTATGTGTGTTTGTGTGTGCGCATGCATGCTTTTTCATGCTCTTTAGTCTCGGCTTCCAGTCTCCTCTGAGATTCCATCAATAGATTATAACAATATATGATTATTTTTCTCTGACTTAAAAATTAAAACTTTTTAAAAATTTTACTTTTACTTCTAAGAATTAATGTTATAAACCAAATTCTCGAGATTATGTAATATAAACTTTTATTATTATTTCTTAACTATCACATTTCTTGAAAAAAATTATAATTATTGATAAAAAGGGACACCCAACTTCGATGACTTTGAGCTTGACATTTGTCATTAACATTTCTTAAACGGAATTATCTTTTTTACATAAATTGATTCCTCGTAATATTTGGCATAAGAAGTTACAGAGTGGCTAAAAAAGATCGTTTACAAAATATTTTATTCTTTAATTTGACATAATTTTACATAAACTATGAAATATCTCGTGAAACATTCATTTTCCGATGTTTTTACCTTAATTCTTTTATGCATAAACTAATGAAATAAATTAATTAATTGATGTAAAGACAATAATTGTTCTCAAGGAAAAGTATATAAATTGCAACCAGCAGGTCTCATTATTTTGTGCATAATAAAGTATTGAGGCAAGGTCAACTAAAAAATGAATATTACGAGATATTTAAAAGGTTATGTAAGATTATGTTAAACTCGCTTTGCAAATGTGGCAGATTTTTATGTATTTCAATATAGTCTCTCTTTTAGATTTAAATGGACTTTAAATATATTATAGAAGAGAACAAAAAGAACATATTTTTTTTATAAACACATTCTTACGTATTTAGGAATTGAAACAACTCTTCAAAGATAATTAGATATGTCATTTTGAATATCGGTGAAACAATAAAAAATAATACAAAAAAATATATACAAAATATTTCCTATAATGCTCTTTATAACACACACATTTAGATTTTTCAAAATATTTCCACATCAAATATTTTTTGAATTTTAAATGTTTTATATATCTAAAAATAAAAGTCTTCCACCAAAGAGTGATGGCAAATTTTCGCCCATTTTTTGGGACCTCGAATTCAAACTTTTTTTCATGGCAAATAGTACTATTAGATGAAACATTAATCCCAGTAAAATTTTAAGATGAGCATAGGCACGGTTCCGGAGATACAAGGAGGAAAGTGATGATTTTTAGTCAATTCTATGAAAAATTATCATTTTCACCTCTTCATATCTAAGGAACCGTGTCTATGCTCTTGAAATTTCTCTGGGATTAATGTCTCATCATATAGTACTTTTGGCATAAAAAGTTTGAAATTTGAGGTCCCAAAATTTGACCTTATAAAAATGAGCGAAAAAACAGGTCTTTTTGCCATCACTCTCAATATTTGATAATATGAATTTAGTAATTAAACTTTACAGATGGCGTTTTGTATTTATGCTGCACTATATTCGACAACATACAGTTTATTGTTTATTCTATATTATTCTAATTTATTCTATATTATATTCTACAATATAGAATAAATAGAAAATCATCTTAGAAATATTGAATAATTATTCTCTTATTTATATATATATAAATTATTTATATATTTTCCTATTTAATTTATATATTAAATAATATGGTATACATATATTATGTATGATACAATTGTGGAATGTGAAAAAGAACAAATTGTCAAAAGAGTAAAGTATTGTGAGATAAAACTTGTGCGACACATAATTAGCACAGCGCAAATCTGTATAATTCGTTTACAAAAATACGATTTTATATCAAACTCAAGTAAATGAAAATCACATATGAATTTTATGAATCCTTCTTTAATTTTGTGACAAATGCTTTAAGAAGTCAGTTGTTTTTTCCTTTTTTATCGACAAAATATGAGGTTAGATAAACTATAAATCTATTTATTGGCTATACGGATTGTTTTCTACCTGAAATTAAAACCTTCTCCCTTTGTTAATATTAATACTTTAATTTGTACAGGAAAACGATTTATCAATCTGTATAATCTCATATTTATTGATTACAGAATTAGAATTCATAATGCTGTAATCAAGAAATATGAGACTATACAGATTGATAAATCTTTTTTCTGTATAAATTAAAGCATTAATATTAACAAAGGGTGAAACGTTCTAATTTCAGGTAAAAAAACAATCTGTATAGCTAATAAATAGACTTATAATTTATCTAACCTCATATTTTGTCGATAAAAAGGAAAAAAACAACTGACTTCTCCAAAGCATCCGTCGGAGTTTGGTCAACCGTTTAGGATCCCCTTAATCAAATGTATTGTATAGAATTAGTTCGTTCATATTTTTTTTCACTTTTTGCATAATTTTGTTTTAGGAAAAACTAACAAGCTTCGTCTCTGCCCGAGAATTTTGAATAACTACCGAACTATTTTATTCTTTCCAATAAAAAAGTTTATATTTAATTTTATATAAAAAAGCAAAATTTTAAAAACCTTTAAGTTTGCATAAATATCCAGCCATTGTGGTATCCTAAATCTAAATAATAAGCTGGCAAATTAAAAATCAAAAGATACCACTAAAAGCAGAGCATTAATAATCTAAATAACATCCTAAAAAAATTTTTTGGAAACAATAAAATTTATATAAAGAATAATATCTCATTGATGTCATAGAATACGATTGAATACTATGGCACATTTTATTTTTATAATTCTTTTTATAAAAAACATCTGACTACAGCTATTGTAAGATATTACAATTTTTTGTCAACGTTAATTTAGTCCTAATTAATTGATTTAGAATCAGAAATCACATACATTTTAGAGACTATATTAAAAATATATAAACATTCAAATTTAGTTATTAAATCTATGACTATGATGCTTCTAAAAATTTTCAATAAAAATTAATTTTATAAGCTAACTCTGTTTGGTTTTAAAGCTCTGAATAAATTGTTATTCAATTTATCTTTTTTCTTAAAAATAAGTTTTTTTTATTTTCCACACAATGTTTGTGTGATCTTTTCTCTAATGTTTTTGGATTAAAAAATAAATGCAAAAACCTCACTATATATATTTCAGATTAAAATTAATAAATAGTAAATTAATTCTAAATTATCTCCAAAAAGTAAAGTTGCTAGCTTCTCGCCGACCATCTTAGAATTGTGATGTTAGAAGTGAGAAAATACGCTAAAAATTCTTAAATGCTATTTCGAAATAAAATGATATTTTAGTGAAACAGCACTTTAGGTGTCTTTTGCACACTCTTAAAATACCTGTGAAATAGTATTTCATCGAAATATCTTTTTATTTAAAAATAGTATCTAAAAAGTTTCAGCGCGTGCTTTCTCGCCTCTGACGTCACAATTTAATATGGCCGCGGCGAAGACCCAGGAGTCTTTCAAGCGTTTTTGTTTTATTTGTATATGCGTGTGTGTGTATGCGCATACATGTGCATGTGTGTATTGTCTTTCTCCTTATTAATCGATATAAGATTTTTAATCTTATAATTTTAATATATATATTATATTTTATATATATAATCGCTCCATACATTAATCTAGACTTAACCTGTGTTTGAAAAGTGTTACTTTTGCGAATCAAACATTATTAAAAAAATTATTATTTTAAAAATAATGAGTGTCTTTAAGTAAATTTTAATTGTTATATCTATTCCCATAATAAAAAAAAAGAATATTGATGTATCTCGTAAAAAATTTCTTAGTAAATATTTTATGCAAGATATCTCTTCGACCTATATATAAATGATGAGATATAGTTGTAATCAGAAGATATGAGATAAATGATATAGATAAGGTTGGATAGAGAGGTGACCTTTTAAGATTAAAGCTCATACCTTATATATGTATATATAATTAAAAAATAGAAAAAAAAGAAAAAAGAACTTATATTGCGTAATCTATATTTATTATGTCTATGGTTATCTCCACATGTCTCTTTGTTATAATATATCAGTATAGCAAAACGGATATTGCAATACGTAGTATTGCAGCTTCTATTGATATAGAATAAATTCTATTTTTTTCCCTCGATAATCAATCAGGTAACTTGAGACGACCATAACTTGCAGCTTTAAATATTATAGTACGCACGAAATTTTTTTCTATATTCTACTTTCAAGTTTAATCACAATACTCACTTTACGAATCGATACGCCATAAATCGACTAAATCAAAATCACAGGCGCAAAATCGTTAATCAGACGTCGCACATCGACAATGATTAAAAATTTACAAATTAAAAGTTTCTGCATGTAAAAAAAAATATTTCATAAATTAAATTCCAGAGCACATTGACAATAATTTAATTAAATCATAGATTTTAATTTCTTCATATTACTTAATAACGAATTAAATTCTGGTTTTAATTAATTAAAAAATTATATTAATTCTCGCAAACTTAATAAAAATAAACTTTTATATATAAGCAAATAATTATTTAAGCTCTACAAAATAAATTACTATGCATTAGTAACGTAGTCACGAATTATTCATGTACATTCATATTCTCTCAGATACATTACTCCCCCCCCCCCCCAACTAAATCAACTTAATCGACACATTAAATTTATTGCACATTTGTGTGTGTGTGTGTGTGTGTGTGTGTGACAGAATTGAATTCATTAATATAAATTTAAATATACACGTTTGTAAAATTTTTTACATGAAAATTTTTATATGAAAATTTAATTTAAGTTTTCAATTATACATACATACATATATATATATATATGTGTGTGTGTGTGTGTGTGTGTGTGTGTGTGTGTGTGTATACACAGGATGTTTCATGACTCAAGGTTTATACATTAAGGACGTGTTATTGAAGTCATTTAAAATTAAAATTGTTTAATAAACATATATCCGTAAATGCTTTTTAACAGAAAGTTGCCATTAAAAGTTAATGTGAATAATTGAAAAAGAAGGAAAAAACATTTATAATTTAACTTGTTTATTTATAAAAGTATTACTTCTGTTACAAAATTATCTCCTGCAAATTCAATATAAAAACTTGTCCTGTGTAAGGGGATCCAACAGTTCACTTTATCTTGCCAGGAGAATTTCCTATTTGCGATGTCGCATCCATAATTCTATTCACAAGTTCATTCATATTGAGATTATTCTGCATAAACTATTAAGGCTCCTATATCTTTTAATTTAAAAATGGCATCAAAGAATTTTCAGCATGTGCTTTCTCACTTCTAACGTCACAATTTAAATGGTCGCGGCGAGAATCCAGGAGCCTTAAGATGAGAAAATATAAACAATATCACCAGAACTAACAGAAAATATTCTTATACATAAACTTTCAATGCTTGCAATTCTGTTAAGAAGCATTTATGGACATGTTTATTAAACAATTTCAACTTTAAACAACTTTAATAAAACGCCTTTAATATATAGATCTCGAGTCACGGGACACCTTGTATACATATGTGCATATATATACACATACACATATATATATATTTGTATATTAACATCAGGGGCAACATTTGGTGCAGGTATGTCTTTGCACAAAGAGCAAAGTGGAAGAGGAAAAAATCACACGGCTGTACCTCACGAGAGACCCTGCGGCGTGAAGCAGATCTTCTCCAGTTCGCCGGTCGACGAACTGACTGGCGACTCGGCTCGGTCGTCCTGCTCTTGGGCCGCCAGTTGTTCGCTGTAGTAATGGGGCGTACTGAGATAGTCGATGAGCCGCCGCGGTAACGGCAGGGTCGGGATCAAATCCCTACGTACCATCTTCAGGATGACGAATCTGCAAGTGTGCTGCAGACTTTGTACCTGCTTGAATCGCGACACCGGATGAAGCAGCTGCACTCGCATCGGACCCAAAACCGGTCGCCGATGCAGAAAGAAAAGGTACCGACCGCTGCGCGAATGCTCGACCGCGTTCTCGATGAAGTCGACGATGGTGTGTGACTTGAACTTTGTGCAGCTACCGAAACTGAAGTTACCTGCATATCCAAAAGAGATGAATTCGATTAAAACGCATGTCGTACGTGAGTGTCATACGAATTCTATATATAGTATGGTAAAAGCTTACCCTGATCATGCTCTATCCTTACGTGTCGCACGCAACTGTTAAGTCTGAACGACAAGGAAAAAATGTAATGGTCGTCGCTACTGTCCCGTACGATGAATGAACCATCTGGCTCGTTGGATAGTATCTTCTCCGCCGCTTCGCCGGATATAGGTCCCCAGTACCATCCGTACTGTGGAAAAAAAACGACAGTATTAGAAAAAAATATTCGCCAATTCTTTAAATACTTAATATAAGCTTTTTTCGAGAAAAGGAAAAAGATCGAGACCCTATCGGAAGTCAAACTCTCTTATTATTAGTAAACAATGCTTCAGTTTATGGAACTATCAACCCTCTTCTTTCTCTCGATTCACCCAGAATTCTGAGGAGACGTTGATTAAATCCACTTCTGAAATCTATAAGCCTATCTCGAGCAGAGGAAAATATCGAAGCCCTACATAAGAATCCTAGGACCTTCTCTCTCAATAGGAAGTTACTCTGGTCACTGAGGTACTCATCATTCCAAGTATTTTGACGTCATTTTGACATTCAATATCAGTTTGCTACTTGGGGATTTTTTAGTGTAAAATTGGGTAAAACAATATGCGATCAACCCAAGTAGCAAGAGTACGTCATTTAGACGTCGAATGACGTAATTAAACATCAAAATGACGTCAGTATGCTACTTCGGAAGTTTTTTTTGTGTGAAATTAGGTAAAACTGTTACAGAACCGTGTATATTCTCTCAGCTCATATACATATTTTCTACAATAGCAAGTCCAAGTTGACGATAAAACAAAATATACGTACATCCTTGACTTTTTCGATACTCGCGGCAAAGTCCATACTCGTGTCCTCCGCGGTATCTTCCTCAAGTCGCACGGCGGGCGAAGAAACTTGCTGCTGTATCAAGCTCGGAGATTCGCATTTGGGTGCCATCGCTGTGAGGGCCTCTTCCGCTTGCTCGACATTCGCCTGGCTGTTGCTTTTGGGCAGAGGTGGCAACGCTCGCTTGAAGAACGGCAATTTTTGCGCGCTCGGTTCCGTCTCAGATGGAGCGGTGTTGTTATTATTTGCGTGCTGATCAGAGTCGACGCTCTCCTCCTCCTCGACGATCTCACCCTGAACGATGCTGTTGCTGCGCTTTTCCACAAAATGATCCGGCGAACCCAGTCGCCGAAACCGGAAGATATTGCAGAGCGTTTGCTTGAGATTTAAGGAGAAATTACGTTGACTCTTCTTCATCTTCTCCCGCTCGGACTCGCTCTTCTCCTTGTGCGACTCATCGCGCGCCTTCTTATGCCTGATGCTGACGAATGCGTTTCTCTTATGCTTCTTCGCGTTATTAGAATTATTATGATTGTTATTATTATTGTTATGATGATGAATCATCATTCCGTTACTGGCGCTCTTGTTGGACACCGGAGTATCCGTGGACGAATCCGTATGCACATTACTGTTATACCTATTATTAAATATTATATTTAATATTAAATTTATTATTATCTATTGTAAATATTAAGGTTTTTGGGTACTATAAGGTACGCCGCGGCCATGTTGGATTGTGACGTCAGACGCAAGAAAATTCTTCTCTATGCCATTTTTAGATAAAACACAAACTTCACATTGCTTTAGCACATTTTTAAAATAATCCGAAAACTATTTTAAAATAATTGTAATATCAGATTTTGTCATGGAATGACTGCGCAAGGCTATACGAATCAGGCCTCATATCACAATCATTTTATAGCTATTGATTGATTATAAAAGGTAAAAAATAAGCCATCTAAAGTAATATTTCATCGAAAAATTTTTTTGTCTAAAAATAGCACATAAGATTTTGTAGCGTATGCTTTTTCACCTCTGACGTCACAATTTCAACATAGTCGACAAGGATTCAGGAGTTTTGAAAAATATTTAGATATAATATTTAGATATAATAGTGTACTTATATTAATAATTAATTTTGGCTTTATAGACCGAGTTTTTTCCTTATTTAATGGTTATTGCTGGCATTAATGATTATACAATATATAAAAAAATTGTTTTTTTAAAATTCTTAAGGGATCAATAAATAGCTTCCTTCTTTGAGAATACTGGAAAAAAAACACCGGCATGAAACTAGTCGTTTCTTACAATTTTTTGGACGCTGCATTACAATTATTGCAATTGATCTTTGTCATTCCGTATATAAATACGATCTCAGAAATGATTGTCTCCTGTAATTGCCTCTTCGTTTGGCCTACATAAGATGTATTACAATCATTGCAATTGATCTTATAAACAACATTCGAATTCTCCTCGGTAAAAAATACAGAGTGTATAGTAGGATACAGATGTCTCAATAAACTTGATAACATTATTAAAGCACAGAAAGATAAAATTAAACATCCATGCAATTCGAATGTTGTTTATAAGATCAATTGCAATGATTGTAATACATCTTATGTAGGCTAAACGAAAAGGCAATTACAGGAGACAATCATTTCTGAGATCGTATTTATATACGGAATGACAAAGAATTTTTTATTAACTGATTTAAACAAAGATACTGAATTACTCAGCAAGTCTTATTTTGATATTTTGGATAAATTAGCGAACAATAAATAATAATAAGACAAATCGGACATTAACGGTTTAAACATAGGTATTAGATCATATATATGGTAAACATGCACATTCTTCGATTAAGTAGAGTTTGAAATGAGATGTCTTTTTATATTGTTGGTCTTGTCTTGTGTCATCTTCAATAACTTTTTCAAAAAAACCGTGGTTCAAATTGTCAAGAAGGACGATGTCAAGTAAGCATATTGCTAACAGTTAAGGATATATATTTTAATTTTTGACATACGTTAATCGTCAATTTTTTATTAATCGCAGCGCCTACGGAACGTATTAATTTCTCGCATATTAACGATAAAACTTTTCGAGATTTGATTAAAATCAAAGATCATATCAAGGCGAACATTTGTTGGATATGACGGATTGAAACACGCTTTAATTGCTTATAAATTCTCGACTTTTATTGAAGAACTAACATTAATTTTCGATATTATGTGGAATTTTTGTATGAATTTGTGTTTTTTAATAATTACTGTAATATAATACTGAGGAAGACCACGTGCGGTTGAAACGTTTATTTTATAATGATTGTAATTTTCGCTTAAGTTTAAGTATAGAATGTTTGTAGCTTTCACATAATGTTTTATGTTTAGTTTATACATGGAATAAATTTTATTTGACAGAACAACTCTAATAATTGCTCGATAAGTTGGCCTTTTTATCTATCACTAGTTGTATATACAATATACGAGCGAAGCTTTGTATCAATTGATTTTTTAATATATTATTATATTCTGTAATGTGATTTATCGTTGTTGAAGATTCGCTTCTCGAGGCTCTAACAAAAAATATTAATTGAGTCCAAATTTTAATAGAAGCTGTTGTCACTCAAAAATTTCCATATACTGTAAACTAGAGCTCACTAGGATTCTTCTGAGCCAAGAACGAGCGGTTTTAAAAATACGAAGAAATTATGAAAAGCATAAGAGGGGATTAATAAATGCCGATCTTACGAAACAGAAACGATTATCGCACTTACCTATTATTATTTATACTGAGGGGTTTGGTTGTCGCGGCAAGGTGTACCGGCGTATGTCCTAGCAGCGGCGTCTTGTCCCGCTTGATCTTGTTCTCGCTGGAGTCGCTCGAGCTGGAATACAATGTTTGCAGGTACTGTCGTACCTCGTGCAGAGTCATGTGAATCGGCTCGCCAATGTTGTGCGCGTGTCCGTTCGACGCTTTGATATTGTGACGACCGGAGGTGCCCGGCACGCTGTGCCGCTTGCCGCCGCCGCCACCGTTGCCACAGGGGTTGCCCTCATTGCAGCAGACGTCGGCAAGCAAACGCTGGGACTTGATGACGTGGGTAATGGCGCGGGACTTGCCGCAGTAGTGGCGCGCCTGCTGGATGTGGGCCTCCAGCTCGCTCTGCGAGCTCGCGGAAACGTTTCGCCGTCTCTTGCGGTGGTGCCGGTGCCGTTTCGGCCTTTGCGGGGTCCGCAGATCGTGGAGAGGTCGCACCATGTCGATCGGCACCGTGTAGATGTCCGAGTCAAACGGCACGTTGTACATGTCGCTGATCTCGCTGGTGGTCAGTACGTCGTGCGACATCGCGGATGTGATGAAACTGCTGTCGTCGGCCTTGTGACCGAGGCCGGAGGTATTTATGGAATTATGCGAACTGGACAGTCTCGACGAGGCCAAGGAGCAGCGTGAGTTCGGCCGATTCAGCGTGTTGTACGGCGTGATAGCGATGGTGGCGGCGCCCTGGCACACCGGTGGCGTCATTAGGTCCCATATACATTTAGAATTGGTCTGGTGGGCCCGTGTCGTCACGGAAATCGGATTCGCAGCGGGCGCGATTCTACCTTCCGGCCAGGAGATGCGACAAGAGATCACCAGGGCCTCCTCTATCGCGGCTTGTACCAGATTCTCGGCGTAATCGTCGACCCAGCACGGCATTCTATGCCTTATCAGTCGCGCATAGTTCACTATTGGCGTAGACAGGGATTCCGAGTCCGGTGGCGACGGACTGTCTTGAAATTCCGGGGGTGGTTTGATCGCCACGTCGACCACCTCGACCTCCAATTTGCCGTCCGCGTCGCTCCAGCCTGGACCCTTCTTCAACGTGTTGAAATTCTCGCCGCACATACCGTCCGAATAATCGAAAGAATCTTGTGATAGAGACTTACTTTCTATGTCGCTTTCTTGCATCTGTAAAATTCGGAAGAGTTATACAGGGTGTATCTGAATGGTCTGTACAAACTTTTAGGATATGTTCTAGGGATCAAAACAAGCAGAAAATTATAAACATGGGTTCGAAGACGCTTTTTTCTAGAGTTATAATGGTTTGAAGTTCTCTTGCAGTGTGTAGAAGAAATTATCACATTAAATTGTATAAGAGTTGCAATCTGTATTTATTATGTATTAATTGTATTATTTTAATTTACTTGAAAAGAACCACAACCATATGATCGAAACATTGTAATTTTTAATAAACAAAATTTTGACTAGTTTTGGCCGATTAATTAAAAACATCCTGTATTATTTATTTATTTCTACAAATATTACAAGACAGTACACTTGCTATAGCAAATGCTCAAAATGGCCTCTTTTAGATCCAAAGAAAGCCTGAACTGTCATAACAAGAAAGTAAATTCAAAGGACTTTGCACTTATGCTAATATAAAATTGGATCTCACCAAGCCCAAACCTATTTGGAATCTATTACATTTACAGAGTTCTTTATATAATTTAAGACAGAAGAAAAAATATTACCTCCATTGCAAGATGGGCTCGAACAGAATCACTGGATATTGAACCTCCTAGGCCACTGCTACCAAGATCACTAAGAGGCCCAGCACTTAATGAACATGATGGCGGTGAGTCCATTTCAGATTTCGTATGCTTCAACTGTATGTATCGGAAATGCCTACAGTAGCCGGAATTTTTGACATTTCCATATTACTCTCTAAAATTTAAAGCAATTTGTTACAATGCTGAAATTTATTTTTACAAACTGTTGTTGCTGAATGCCTGACCTGAAGAAAAGTATCATAGGCAACATATAACTGCCTTATGATTTTTATATTTATATATTGACTTGTACTTTGCGCATGGTCCATTATGAATAAGAAATTACAATGACATTCTAAAGCGACACAGCTGATAACCCTGCAACAGAAAACATAATTATTCTTAAAAAAAAAAAATAAAAAAAAAAAATTAATATATATGTACATGTATGTGTAGAAAAAAAAAAATATATATATATAATACACATATACATATCAGCAAATATATAAGAAAATTTAATCTTTTTTAAAAAATACATTAACAAAAATCTTTTATAAATATACGAATATAAATTTTTCGCAATTTATTCTTCGAAGTTGATGTCTCTAACCAAGAGTCTATCGATGAACAAAAAAGAAATATAAAATGCTAAAAAAAATTTAGACCTCGAATGTATACGATAAACTAATCGGAGTAGAAGGTACCGCGAGGGTTCAACGAGAATTAGTGCAAAAAGGTTTGACAGAGGAATCGTGTTCGAAATTCGCATCTCTTCTTCGTGGCTCTGTTCGGAGGGGAGATTTTTCCAATGTATGGGGAGAGCAATGTGTGGACGACGCGACACGACAGCTGATTACCTATGCGCTGAATTGTCCGCGACACGTTTGCGACCCGAAACTCGCTGACGTCGTCGCGCGAAGACACGCTACTCATGATTGTCGCATGACGCGCGCGAGGCTCATGCCGGGGACCAATCGATATTTGTGAGACAACGCGGAGGCTCCGCGGCGGAGCAGCCTCGCCTTGTATCATCTAGTACCATGATCGGTTAATGATCAGTCGATTGGGTTCTGGATGCCTAGTGTCACGCCTAACCTTTTAGCGTCCAATGAGTACACGCTGCCCTTAAAGCCTTGTGTGCACGATACTAGAAATTGTTCCGAGTCACAGTATATGTATAACCAGTAGCGGCACTTCGTGTCGGTTCTTTTGATGTCAGTGTCCGAAATCATGTGACATGTCGCCATGTTCTTGATAGTAATAGCGCGCTTATATTTAAATTGTGAGAAAGAAAGGCAACTATATATAAACAATTATTTTTATAATTGTGCAGACAATTATTGTATAAATAACCACAATGTATATTTTCTTGAAATACATATTACATATGTAACATTAAAGTAACGCAAATAATCATATAAACATAAAAAAAGAAGAAATTTAACAAGTAATAATATTAAAATATACCTATGTGTTATTTAATAAATTATTTTTTTATTATGTTTGTGTATTATTTAATGAATTATTTATATTAAACAAGTAACATATTTATTATTGCCATTTTATTTATAAACATATTGATGTACATTTAGATTATTTACAATTGAAATGTATATAATGTGTAAAATTACGATAAATTCGTGATCAATGATTCCAATTTTTTGTTATACTCTTCAAAAATACGAAATCTCAAATTTTAGATGTATATAAAAATTGATAATAAATAAATGTATATAACAATTCTATGTAATTTACAATTGGTTATAAAAGACTAATTTGTTTTATATTATCAGGTGTATTATTGTTTATCTGTTTAATGTACTTAAATTGATTTCTGTCTTGTTATTATGAATACGTATGAATACTTATAAGATAAGCTCCATTTTGTGGATAGGTATGTGTTGAATAATTGAACAGGAATTCAGTCACCTAGAAAACAATATTAATTATAAAATAAAACACTTTTTATTAATATTTTTAATATTATAATGTTTAGAAAAAACAAAAATTAGACATTTTCTGCATCTTTAACACACACACATATATATATATATGTAGCAATTGTGCTCTAGAATAAATGTTATTGTAATTTTAGAAACAATTAAATTTTATATATACGTATATAGGAAATTGTCAAACAATTAATACCTTTCTGGATGAGATGGAAAGCGAAAAAAGCTCAAGTGACGACTGGAGCCGGAATTTTCATTGCAATCTTGTATTGCGCACGTGAAACCACCAACAACTACGCGACGTTCCATTATTATAACAATGTTTTTTAAAAATATTTTCAGACCTAAAACTTAACAGAGTCCTTTAATTAACTTGAATTCATTAATAGGCTATATTTATTTTGATAAACACAACCACTACTTACTGTGTTTACAACTCACTGTACACCATATTGTGGATAGTAATCCAACGCATGCGCCGTAGCATTTCTCCGACGCTATTTTTCTTGAGTGACGCTACTGGTTATACATATACTGTGTCCGAGTTCTCGGAGCAATTTCTAGTATCGTGCACACAAGGCTTTAAGGGCAGCGTGTACTCATTGGACGCTAAAAGGTTAGGCGTGACACTAGGCATCCAGAACCCAATCGACCGAGTTCTCGGACCGAGAAATGTGTAGCCAATAGCCTAGTTTACATCAAGCACTTGATACGCGTATCAAATAGTAAATTACTAGTAAATTGGTTCAGTCATTGGCTGATCAGTTCAAATACACTAATGGCGCGGTTACATGGTACGGAACGTATGCGCAATCCGGAATTGGCGGAACGCTCGTGATTGGTTCGACCTGCTTTCTATTCGTTCCGCCGATTTTTATCCGCAAGTTTCTATTTTATACGCATTTATTGTACAGAACTGCGGAATTACTTGTGTATATGTGTAAAAATGTCGAAAGTTCAGCAGATATCCGTAAGAATATTATTAAAAAATATTAAAATTTTAAATAAATTAAATCTTAAATTAATAATTTTATATGTTATTGCAATATTATATTAAACAACTTCTTTATAAAATATAAATTTAATACTTATACGAAAGTTTGAGGTTCTAATACTTATACGGAAGTTTGAGGTTCTAATACTTATACGGAAGTTTGAGGTTCTAATACTTATACGGAAGTTGGAATCTTCTTTCTAAGCTAAATATAGGTCGCACCCAATATTTCTGTCTTTTCATATTTTTATTTCTTTTTGCAATTATATACAACAAATATAATTTTACAATCTTGCGGCCTAATTCATTCTTTTTAAATATACACCAACTTTGTTTTAATTTATTTAATAACCCGCATATAATAATAAACAATTTTTTAGAATCCATATTGACAATTGTTGTTTCGAAGGTTATGTATGGAATTCATAATTTTTTGACGGGTATATATGTGAATCCGATCCGTATAAATTTGTATTTCCTATGTCCCATGTAGCGGAAAACATGGAAGCGTAATTTGTGTGAGCCAATAATATACACTGTTCCGATAGAGACAACAAAAAGATCTATGGGAAAGAATCTTGTGATTGGCCAGCGCCAATTGCACTTCCGCGTTTTCCACTTTATGGGACATAAGGGTGTCATTACATGAAACGCGAAAACGCGGAAGAGAATTTAATTAGAAAAGTAACTATTCCGCGTTTCCGCAAATTGAGTCGTTATTTTCCGCACATTTGAGCGGAATCCGCGAAATCCGTTACCGTGTGTGCACGTGGATTCAAAAGTATATAGAAAATAAAAATTTTATAAATGAATGGTCCTGTAAGTATTTGAATTCTTTTTAGTATTCAGTAAAGATATAGTAGCTTGTTATTTTTAGAGAAAAGTTTCTGTAATTTACACACTTTTGATATAGATATAAAATTACAGAATAACAAATTATTAACACCTATTGCAAAGTCATAACCTCATTTTAAGTGAAATAAAGATAATTAAACGATTGCATTTATTCAGGCCGGTATCCCATGGAGCGGATTATGCGGAAGCGGAACCAGCGGATCGCCAATCACGGAATCGTTCCGATAGAACTTATATATCGATGAGCTCCATCGGAATGATTCTGTGATTGGCGATCCGCTTGTTCTGCTTCCGCGTAATCCGCTCCATGGGACTCCAGCCTAACAGGCAACAAAGTGTGGCTATTGAGGTTTTATTTTCAGGGGATCATGTGGAATAATTTTGAACCACCATTGTTTCAAAACATACGATGAAACTACAGATCTTATAAATGTTGACAGCAATGCTGTGGTTACTATGAGTACGTATAGTATGTCAGGAGGTCGATTGTGTATTTTGGGTGAGTTGCTCACGAGGTGAAAATTACAAAAGTGAGGAAATTTACTAGAGTACCCACGGTTTCATTTGTCGATATCTAGTAAATCTTTTCACTTTTGTAATTTTCATCTCGTGAGCAAACTCACCCAAGATACACAATCGACCTCCAGAACAATCAATTGAGTCATTTTGCAATAATTTTAGTTGTTTATTTATTTATGTTAAAGAAAAGAGACATATATATATATCAAACTGAAAGTGTGCAACATGAAAAGGAGCTTCACAGTCTAATACTCAATCAGAACTTACACAAGACCCATATTTTACGGTTTCTTTTGTCTTCTTGCAGTTTCTTATAACGCAAATATAAAATATACATTGAAATAACTTTTTTCATAGTTATCTCTGCATATCTTATTATTGGTTCATCCCGTGCTTGTATAAGATACTTCATAATAATCATCAACATGATGTTTGAATCCATGATATTGTGCTTAATATTATATTGTTATTTTTAAAATAATAAAACAATTGAAATATATAAAAACTTTCTTCTTCAATCGACTCCGAAATTTGATGGAATACTGTGTTCACATTGACAATGATTTGACGCGCTCGTTCCGTCTGTTTTGATTGCCTTATATTACATGGAGCACTATTTGCACGGAAAAGCGGAACGTTAAGGTGACAAATATACATTTTTATTCATTTCTTAAAATTCTTTTCACTTAATATATTGTAATTTTTATTAATATAGGCATTCTTAAATATTTGTATTGCCCGAACGGCGTAACGAACGAAGTATATTTAATTGATTCTTCGTGCATTTTTATATGGAAAAATCCGTCCTTAATATCGAGCGTAGAAAAATATTTCTTATTCTCCAGCAAGTCTAGCTGATCCTCGATTAACGGAAGTGGAAAATGATCACGCGTTGTGACTTTATTGAGCTTCCTAAAGTCTACGCACATTCTTAACTTCCCGGTTTTCTTTTTCGTTAACACGATAAGTGACGCGTATTCGGATGCACTCTCTCTGATAACGTTCTTCGCGATCAGTTGTCGCTCGTAATCCAGCATCAACAATTTTGTAGTTTGAATCAGTTCAACTACAAAGCATTGACTGCTGAAACGTTTAACTTTATCAATTCTATCGCGCTGTTATCCTTTTTATGTACAAAAATTATCGCTGTTTAGTTCAGCGACAAAAGTTGTTACATGATCATTTTGTTGCTCAAACAATCGGTTTCAACGGCTCGTGAAAAGGCATCTTTAAGCGTTTAAGCAGTAAATGCTTTGTAGTTGAACTGATTCAAACTACAAAATTGTTGATGCTGGATTACGAGCGACAAATCTGTCGCTTCAATCACTTGTTTTAGCGGCACGTGAAATTGCACTTTAAAGCGGGGTCTACAATGAAGTTGGAGTCCCATGGAGCGGAATGCGCGGAAGCGGAATCAGCGGATCATGAATTACAGGACTGTTTCAACAGAATCTTTGCAAGGGCTCTATCAGAATAATCTCATGATTGGTGATCCGCTAATTCCGCTTCCGCGCAATCTGCTCCATGAGACTCCAGCTTGAGTACGTTTACACGGCACCCTTAAGGCCGTTCTACAATGGAGTATCGTAGGTGGTAGTCGTAAGAAATTGACCTATCACAATCGATTATTTTTGAAATAATCGACTGTGGTTTGTCAATTTCTTACTACTACAGCCTACGATACTCCATTGTAGAAGGCCCTTAAGAGTGTCGTGTAAACGTACTCAATGGCAGCAGAAGTACAGAGTACAAGAGCAAAACGGGGAGCACACACTTTTGCATAGGCGCATAAGCGCAAACATGAGAATCTTGATTGGTCTATAAATGTATGCATAAGAAATTCAATTGAAGAAATTCGATTGGTTGAATTTTTTAGGCATATGTTTATAGACCAAGATTCTTATGTTTATGCTTATGCGCTTATGCAAAAGTGTATGCTCTCCACTTAAGGGTGCGATCCCATAATACGGAAATCAACGTGCGGAACAGAGAATGCGTGAATTGAACAGTCAATCAACGCTCTTCCGCATTTTTCTATCCCGCATATTTTTCTGTGCCCTGTGCACACAGTGCGTCAAAGACATGAAAATGACGCGTTCCAGGAAATAAATACATAATTAAAAAAATAAGTATTTTATCGAAACAGTAATATTTGTTAATTTTATTCAAGTATAATATTTAAAATATTGAAATAAATATTATTGCGACAGTATTAAATACATTTAATTTAAAATTATAATATAAAAATTGTTTTTGAATCCTATGACGCATTTTTGGTAATTTTTTCCGTATCATGTGCACAGGGCACACCAAATTATATGTCATTATTATTGATGTGTCTAGAGTTTTGAAGCAAAGATTAAAAATGGATAACAAATTATGTTGCAAGAAACTATTAAAACAAAGAAGTTGCAAGAAGTTTTAAATTCCCGTATAATGGAACAAAGGAAAACAATTTTTCAGACAAAACACGTCTTAACTCGTCAAAGGACACTTTTAATTCTAATTTTGCAGGTTAGCTAGAGTAACGCAACGCATACACGCAAACGTATACAGAAAAGGTACAAAAAAATGCGGAAGAGCGCTGATTGGCTGTTCAATTCACGCATTCTCTGTTCCGCACGTCGATTTCCGTATCATGGAATCGCACCCTAACCGTCATTATGGCCGCGCATGCGCGAAAAAACTCGGCCCGTCTCACAACCACAAATTAATAGACAGATCGCCAAAGGTTTGTCTAAAGAGGAAACCGTCACTTTTTGCCTCTTACCGACACACTTTGCCCCTGGTTCGAGTCCAGATTAATAAAATCCTTTAATTTTACCAAAAAACTTTGATTATACGTGTAAAATAAAAAGATTTTAGTCTGAACTCGCACCAGAGGCAAAGTTTTTTGGTAAAATCAAAGAATTTTATTAGCCTGGACTCGAACCAGGGGCAAAGTGTGTCGGCAAGGAGCAAAAATGACGGTCTCCTCTTTAGACAGGCCTTTGGCGATCTGTCTATTAATCTGTGCTAGCGTCAATGAAAACTGCACTTAGTACATAAAAAAAAAGTATTATACATGAGGTACGTTCAAGAATCATTCTTTTAGCACTTTGAGCGTATTTATCAGCGTTTTTCCGAACAAACTCATTTTATCATTTAGTATTCTATGACATAAGTCTTAAGGTGCAATTTCATGGACGCTAGAAACCAGCGTCAAATTAAAATCACTAGACTTTCTCTAGATTCGGCGTCAAGAAAATATAGTGGGAAATAAAGTTCAGACCGTTTCAGCTTTTTCAGTGTGCCACGAATTCAACAGTAATTGTAATTAGCAATAAACGAAGAAGAAGAAAGAGTTGTTTTTTTAACATTATTCACCTGCCTCGCACGTTCTGTCATCCATGCACGATATTTCTGCCTGTAAGCCATTATATTCTCAATTTTATCGGCGGTTCACAACGCGCATATTTTGCTATTACTCCATTAGACAAGCAACAAATTTAGTCACGTAATCTTCGTTTGACGCTGGTTTCTAGCGTCAATGAAAACTGCGCTTTATATAAAATAATTTTTTTGTTGTAAAAAAATAATCTAAGTTTATTTTTAGTTAGAAAATATTTATCTAGTTTTTGATGGATTCGCGAGTATTTTGTTACAATAATAAACATAAAGCAAAAGTTTTATCCTTTTTAATTTTTTAAAAATATTTCCTACATTCCAATAACAATAAGTACGTTTACACGGCACCCTTAATCAGATTTAATAACATCCAGTTGTAAGACTGGCCAATCACAGCCGTTTCATTCTGCAGGGGAATGGCTGTAATTGGCTAGTTTTACAACTATGGATGTTCTTAAACCCGATTAATGGTGTCGTGTAAAGCGGACCTACATGAAGCTAGCCGACAAAAATTATAAAATATAATTATTTTTACTTTTTCTGAATATATTTCGTTTGTAAATCGTTTGTGACTAATTGTGAGTTTATTTTTAACGTTTGTGACAAATTAGGTTTTTTGTAATTAATAATTTTTTTTTAATCGTAAAGTTAGCCGATACTTTCTAGTAATAAACAGATTTTGTAATAACTAACAATTGTAATCGATAGGAAATTGTTTGTGATTTACAAATATATCAATATAATTGTTTGTGAGTTAATAATTTTTTTATTATTTGCAATAAATAATTTTATAATTATAGTGCGCATGCGCAAAGTACTAGGGCTCTAGCTAATAGCGCTTCGACGCATTAGGCCGGATCTACAACAGGTGTAGCAAGCTTTAAGCTTTAAAAAATTCACCAATCACAATCAAGAATGAGAGGAATAGTCGACTGTGATTAATCAATTTTTGAGGCTTAGAGCTTACTACACCTATTGTAGACCCGGCCTTACGCGCGACAGAAGTCGACACGACAGCCAATCATCTTTCGCTTTTCTGATGGACACTAGCAGGGAGCATTCTGTGCTTTATGTTTTATGTTCTATGGGCAAAGATCGCAAAAATTCTATTAATTTGTTGGAGCAACTGTCATATTATTATTGAAAAATTATATTTCTTGTAAATTGTTTGCGATGTGAATATATTTTCTACATTTGTAACCGGTTAATTTATTTGTATAATAAGTATAATATATATATTTAATATATTCATCATGACGTCAGCTGACAAAATTTAATTACAAATTTTTTCAATTGTAGTTAAGTGAAGATAAAAGAAATTAACAAACAAGAATTATTTAAGGAATTATATAATAATAAGAATAACACAAGGATATATTAGATAAGTATTATTTATTTATAAAATGATATTAATTTACAAGTTGTAAAGTATGATAAAGTACTTTGTGTGAAATTTTGTCTTATACAGAAGGAAACAGAAGCCAAGCAATCATTTTGACCTCGAAAATAAAATAAAATAGAAATAACAAAAATAACAAATATTTAGAACTTAAAATGTACGTATACAAAGAAAAATATCTCTTATATTTTATTATATATAATATTAATATATAAAAATATTATTTAATTTTAAGAAAAATATACTGTGTTTTTTAATAATATGAAAGTATGTTAAAAAAATAAAAACGTAGATATTTGAGAATCGCCAGACAGAATTTAAAAAAGTAAAACTCTCCTCTCGACCGTACTGGCAAATATTATTTATTAAATCACAATGTTAAAGTTACTTAATAATTACTGGTTTTTATTTTTTATTATATAAATTGCAGCATGCGGTTCTATATCCTGATTAAATGAATATGATTGAACGCTTTTTGAAATATCATTATTTCCCAACGTAATGCGTCGACGCGCTATTGGCTAGAGCCCTAGTACTTTGCGCATGCGCACTATAATTATAAAATTATTTATTGCAAATAATAAAAAAATTATTAACTCACACAAACAATTATATTGATATATTTGTAAATCACAAACGATTTCCTATCGATTACAATTGTTAGTTATTACAAAATCTGTTTATTACTAAAAAGTGTCGGCTAACTTTATGATTAAAAAAAAATTATTAATTACAAAAAACTTAATTTGTCACAAACGTTAAAAACTCACAATCAATCACAAACGATTTACAAACAAAATATATTCAGAAAAAGTGAAAATAATTATATTTTATAATTTTTGTCGGCTAGCTCCATATAGGTGTAAAGCGGGGAGCACACACTTTTGCATAGGCGCATAAGCGTAAGCATAATAATCTTGATTGGTCTATAAACCTATGCATAAGAAATTCAACCAATCGAATGCATATGCTTATGCGTTTATGCATAAGAAATTCGATTGGTTGAATTTCTTATGCATACGTTTATAGACGAATCAAGATTCTGTTGGCGTTCGTTGACGTGTTCGGACGTGTTTCGTCTGACAAAATTTTTTTCTTTGTACGATCATTTTGGCCGATACACTTACAATTACACCGACACTCTTACACATATTACACTTATATCAGCTCAAAATAATCAAATAATGCTCAATACTAACTTAGAAGATAATCTGGCCGCCTGAAACCACGAACATAAAACTGTGCGTTTCATTGCCATAAAGAAAGGAAGAAGGAAGAATCAAGATTCTCATGTTTGCGCTTATGCGCCTATGCAAAAGTGTGTGCTCCTCGCTTTAAACGCTCAATATTGCGGTCGTCCACCATAATTCATAATTTATTACTATTTTTTAATACAATTTTAATAATGTCAAAGTCAACTATAATTTATAAATTACTACACATAAAATAACCAATAATTGAAGCAGAGAGAAACCTACTTTAAGTATTGAAAAATAAAGTGCGGTTAGTTTGCTTTTGTGAAAAATATTTGTGTAAATAAAAATATTTTATAATTTATAAAAAATTATAATTATAAAGAATTGTATTTTGAAGAATTTATAAACAATTTATATATATTTTTGTATTTTGATAATTTATAGCATTCACAGTATTCATAGCATTATTACAAGCTATCAAAAATACATTTTTTATGATTCTTTTTAATATTATTTATTATTATTAGATTTTATGCGCTTCCTTATTTTGCATCAACAATTATATATTTATGAAAGAAATAGTAGGATGTAAAAAATAGTAGGTAGCATAGCAAAAAAGTAATTATTATGAAAAATAGTAAAATGGTAGCGTAACAAGAAAGTAATTGCAAGTATCATTATATAAGTATATATTTATGAAAGAAATAGAAAAAGCAATATTTTATGATATATATTACATATGTGTGATATGCAATAATATGTGCTGTACTATACTTTTTTAATAACTATTTTTTGTAATGCTATTATCCTATTCCTTTTATAAGTAAATAATTGTAACATAAAATGAGAAAGTCAATAAAAGCTATTAATAAATAATCTAAACAAAAGTAATGAAAGTATATGATAACTCATAGCATTTAGGAGTGATTTTTTTCTTTATATTATTTATTCCTTTTAAGTTATTAGATTTTATTTCTTTTATTTGGATCAACAATTAGATACTTATGAAAAAATAACTCAGACAACACTATGTCTAAAATTAATGCATAAGACATTTTTAAGATGTCTTGAAGACATCTTTTGGATATTATATCATAAGATTTCTTAAAGACGTCTTAAAGACTACTTAAAGATGTAGCACTTTTAGATATGGTGTTATCTGGAAAGATAGTAGTACAAGGAAGAATTATTTATTAGTATAAAAGAAATATAGTACATCAGTATCAGTGTGTGTGTATACATGTTTACATATCACATTCTATATAATAATATTAATAATTACTCTATCTTGTCACACTATTATTTTGCTATTTCTTTTAAAATAATGATATTTGTAACTTATTGTAACTGCTTTATTTGTTGTTATACAACTGTCTTAATAGGGTTTTCACTAATATGTAATAGTTAATATAAAATGTTGCAAATTATAAATCTTGTTATTTCTTTCATAATTTCATAGTTGTAACTACTTTCTTGATAGGTTATTATTTTACTATTTCTCTCATAATAATATATTGTTATATATCATTATTTATTTCGTAAATATATAATTGTTGATATAAAACTATTATTAATGCTATGAGCTATCAAAAATACAAAATTTTATGTTTTTCTTTTATGTTATTTATTATTTGTTTATTTTATATCTACAATTATATACTTATGAAAGAAAAAGTAGAATAGTAACATAACAAGAAAGTATATTAAGAAAGAAATATAGTATATCACATTACTAAAAAGAATAATATATAATCTCTACAGACTTACTTTTTCAAAAAAAGATACTAATAAGTTACGCGCGTCAGTGAAAAATGAAAGTTGCAAACATATACAATAAAGTTGTATAAATGTAGACCTCGTTTCCCATTATAAATCCATGTAGAATCGTAATAATTAAAAATTATTTTAATCAAAAAGTTGTATAAAACATATTTGTTTTAATTTTCTAGATTTATCCCACAAAAATAATATTAAAAATTGCGCCAAGTAAATATAGAAATTTGTATATTATTTTAACAAAATAGTTGTTTTAATTTCCTGGGTGTTAAATAGAATGTTAAACAATTAGACCGACAAACTTTGAAAGGAAAAAACTTCAAAATAAATAATTTTTATTGAAACTAATTTTCTCTACAATGTTTAATTTTATTATGTATAAGATATAAGTTTATGCTTTTTCAGTTTGTTATTTTTGTGTTGAAGCTAATGGAGGAATTTTGAGAATTTATTGTAAAAAGAGAATCATACTTTTATATATTTGTTTCGTGTTTTGTTCAAGATTAAAATACAATTTAATTTTTCATTATATCCTTATTTTGTTTAAGTCATTCCTATTTTATACCATATAGTATAAAACGTAGAAAAAAGTAGTATTAACAAAAAATATTAATTTGAAAACCTTCTATTTCCCTTCAAAATTTGTCGATCTAATTTTTTAACACCCTGTATTCTATAAACTATAAAAATAATATATAGAAAACACTGTAAAAAAACTATATATGTACATATTCGTAATTATAGATTTTCATTTACGCTAGAAGTTAGAATCTCATATATAGATCATCCTAATAATAAAAAACGATAATACAAAATACAAAAGAATTAAAAATTAATAGAAAAATTAAAAATTTATGTAAAAATTACAAATTAATACAAATAAAAAAATTTAATAAAAAAGCACTTATTGTTAGCGCTGTTAAATTAAACAATATGCTAAAATTAATCTTAAAGAAATTTAAAGAAATATTTCAGATTATAACATGTGCAAGAATAATGTCAAGACAACATTATTATGTGGCCCAAAAATACTCAGCAAATCTTTCATGTTTGAGGTATGTACATATAAGTAAGAGATTAACTTTTTATAAACTATATATATATATATATCTTTTTATCTACAAGTGGCACGCAAAAATTTTCAGCGTGTATTTTCTCTCCTCTTCTAATGTCACAACTTAATACAGCTGCGGTGAGTATCAAATAAGATTCTTAAAAGTTTTTCCTGCTCAGGCAGCAATATATTGGGCAGAAAAGGGACGACGTGTCGTTTATATTTCACCAACTCCTTTAGAAAACCGACCGGCGGTTTGTCACGACAGAAGTGATCCAACAGTTGCGGCTCTCGATTTAATGAGATTTATGTAAGATTTATATAATAATAATATATAATATGTATATGTCTTATATTTTACATTTGTTACAAGTATGAATATAAATGAAATTTTTTTATGATTATAATTCAACAATATTTAATATATATAAATTATAGATGAGGGATTTCACTTTAAATGATCCCAGATAGACAGGTATGCTGAACATATGTAGTATGCAAACATTTTATGTATACTTTGTAATGTAATTAGAACAGCATAAAATTACGAATCATTTTAATAAATTTTAATTGTGCATTATGATGTTATTTTGTTAAATATATTTTATATATTTTATAAAATAGCAATATGTTTCACTTTACTATATATGCATAGCTGCAATTATTATATTTCTGATAAAATAAGCAGCATATTTTTCAATTTTTACAGCATTAGATAATTTCGTTTGCTGATAATACTAATATCATATGAGAATGCATCTTTCAATGTTTATGCAAGCATTTTCAATTTTTAAATTCTGTCATTATGCAGGCAATCTGCTGATATGTCTATCTAGGATCTTGATCACGATATGTAAGTTGTCAAGGTCATCATAATTCTAAGTAATTTTCAAAAAAATGTTACCGTCTATTAAAAATTATTAACAAATACACGGAAAACGCATATAAAACATAAAAGTGTATAATTATAAATTTTATCGTCACATAGAAAACATCGAGTGATGTAGTATGGATTTCACACACACGCATAAATTATACATAGAGACTTATTGATATAATATCTAATAAAACTTATAATTAATATAATCTTTTTTAATAAAGAAATTATATAAAACCTTTTTCATATTAAAAATTTAATAAAATTATTAATGTATCTACCATATATACATATATACTATCTTATAATATTTACAGATATTTGCCGGATTATGAAACTCTTATAGAACAACTTGTGAAATTGCATATGTATGCAGCTGTACCTTCTGTGCTATTGATAGACGATTTGGATAATTATTTCACTGACGAAACTATTAAAAATGACTCATTTGTGCACATTGCCAGAACTTGTGCTCTAATAATCCATTCAATGAAATCGTGTTCACGAATTCTAAAAATGAATGTAAGTAAACAATTATATACACAATACTTTATACTTTTTTAAATCGGAAAATCTATACATATACATTAAGAATAAAAATATATTATTTTAATAATTGGGATTTTAAATATTTTTAGATATTGAGTTTTATATCAGTTAAAAAATTTTTCTTTTTACCTTCATTATACAAAAAATTTACATTTATAACGTCTTTTTAACCTTCTAAAGATTCATAATCAACAAAAGATTTTTTTTATTATATTCAAAATATATTCGAAATATTATGGCATTTTACCTTAAAAGATTGTATATGTTTGTTCTATTCAAAGAATTTGTACGAAATATATGTATAGTGTACAATATTTCACAAATAATTCTTCATATTTACATTTTAATAAAATCTAATTTTATTATTTATTATATAGGTATATGTGTGTGCATGGACCAATTCAATTCTCACTAATAATTTCCTTCAAACAATCTACTTTCGCAATATCTGGAATTTGACAGAAGAAGATGAAAAAATAATATTGTTGGAAAAATTTGCTATTGGATTATCATCGAAACAATCATATAAATATCATAAATTCAAAGATGGAATGCGTGTTCTTCAACAGATATGCCATTCCATAGAAGCTTAATGATGTTTTTTTAATAAATAAATAAATTTACTTGTAAATAATAATTTTTATTTTTTCCTTAGCATCCATTATATTCCTTAGAAAAATTAATATTAAAATGAAATAAAAAGGATTATTCCTAATTTTATAGGAGAATACTGGGTCCTTGGTGAACAGCAATGAGCTAAAATTGTAGAGCATCACAAGGAGATTAGAAAGTTCCATGGGCAGAATCTTGTAATGAGTTCCCTAAGTGTTAGAGCTACTTAAAGTTCGCTATTATGATCATGTACCACTATCTTGTCTGAGGTTTTCTCTGAGTTCTCTGCGTCGGATTGCACCAAAAACATTAAAATAATGTCTAGAATGTATTTGGGACAGTTCATTAATCTGGCTAACCTGGACACAATTTATGCCGTCATACCTATGTCAAAAAAATCTTAATTTTGTTCTTGTGTCGGCGATGCCTCTGAAGGAGGAAAATGTAACTTCAATTAGGCAATTAAAATCTTGTTTCGGACTTCGTGAGTGCCTCCCTATCGATTATAATATCATAATTGTTCATTCGGGGGGCCTAAATTGAATCCAGTCTTTTTCTAAAAATAATTATACAGAGTACTTTGGAAAAGATGGACAATTGCCTACTAATGCTATTGCACAAATAAAAAATGAAGAGACGGACATACGTTTGCACATATAACAGTTTTGCGCACAAACCGTATTGCACACAAAAATTATTGCCTACAGATTGATTGCCTGCAAGCTCTATTGCGCACAAATAACAAAATAAGAGATGAAAGACCCAGATGAAGTTTCAAAAAGTACTCACCCCCGATTTTTTGAAACTCAGTATTCTTACGTATTTTGATGCGCTGATTGCGAATATCATAGTGAAAATTGGCGACTATTTGATTTTCATGGTGAACACCATGAAAAACCTTAAACATTAAAAATATGTATAATAAACCGATTTATTTGGCAAACAGTTGTTTATTGATAATAATTCACGACGTTTTGGTCTTTGGTTTCTGGACGGCTTCAATTTTCTTCGGTTCCTTTGCAATTCCATTTTTATTTATTAAATAACCACAATATGATATCTCGTCTTTAAGGAAAGCACACTTCTCGATGTTGATACGTATATTATGTTCAGATAAACGTTTCAAAATACTTCTTTATCTATTTGAGCGTATTTCTTTTGCGTTTCTGTTAGCGAATTCGATGCGTACTGGATTACGCGCTCTGTACCATTGGGATACCTGTGAGATAAAACGGCTCCTACACCGTACGAGCTAGCATCTACTGCAAGTACTAGTGGCAACTTAGGATTAAAAGCAACTAAAACTTTGTCGCTTCCAAATTCTACTTTTACTTTATTAAACGCGGCTTCACATTTTTTGGATCATTTAAAAATTACATTTTTCTTCAACAAATTATTTAGTAGATATAATATATAGCTTAGATTTTTTATAAAGCGTCCATAGTAATTAACTAGGCCAATAAAAGCTCGTAATTGTGTAATATTAGTTGGTCTAGGCATTTTCTGGACGGCTTCAATTTTCTTCGGTTCCTTTGCAATTCCATTTTTATTTATTAAATAACCACAATATGATATCTCGTCTTTAAGGAAAGCACACTTCTCGATGTTGATACGTATATTATGTTCAGATAAACGTTTCAAAACTGATTTTAGTCTTTTCAAATGTTGTTCTATATCTTTTCCCGCGATTCTGATGTCATCGAGAAATACTGCTACCCCGGGTATTCCGGAAAGTATGTTTTCCATAGTTCGTTACCAAATAGCAGGCGCAGATGCTACTCCGTACATTAATCTATTACATTTAAATAATCCTTTATGCGTACTTAACGTGAGAATCTCTATCGGTTTCCTCAATCTGTAGTTGCAAATACGCTTGCTTTAAGTCGATTTTTGAAAACATCGTGCCGCCCGACATAGATGCAAATAATTCTTCTATCGTAGGTAACAAATGCTCATTCACAATTAATGACGGGTTAACTGAGATACTAAAATCACCACAGATTCTAATTCCACCGTCTTTTTTCAAAACCGGTACGATTGGGGTTGCCCATCTTGACGTCTCAACTTTTTCTAGAATACCCACATCTACCATGCATTCTAACTCATTTTCTACTTTTTCCAAAATTTTAAACGGTACCGTACGATTTTTTATAAAAATTGGGTTTGCCTCTGGCTTTAATTTTAAATGGGCATTAAATTTTTTAATATGCGCAAATTCCTCACTAAATACATTATTATATTTTTTAAATAAATTTGTCAATCGCTTTTTACCCGACGCGTCTAACATTTGTTTGTCTTCTACCTCCATTAAACTATTTTTAATTTTATCTAATAATTTTAATTGATTTATCCATTCTCTGCTCAACAATGGGTCTCTATCATATTTTACTACGTACATGTTTAACATTATATTTTGATTTTCATCTTTTACTTTAACTTTTACAAAACCGAGGGGCACGAAATTTTGCTTACAATACGACCTTAATTTTAAATTCGTTGTATGTAATTTTAATTTCGGAAAATGGTTTTTGAGCCATTTAATGCTTACCAGCGTAACTGCCGCACCGCAATCTACGTCGAATTTTATCACTCTATTTTCAATACAGAGGGGCACTGTAAATTTTGTTCTATGTTCGAGATGCTTCATATCGTCGACATAAAAAACCTTCTCCAACAAGTGGGCCTGTCTCTTCTTTTTACAGACTTTCTGTAGATGCCCGAAACCTTCGCATTCTCTGCATTTGACGCTCCGAGGAAGGGTACAGTTAGGTGTTAAATGAGCCTGTCCACATCTAAAACAAACAATATCATTTAATTTGGAATGAATACGCTTATTATTGTACTTATTATTCTATTTGAAATTGGAAAGGTTTGTTGCCGATGTGTCCTTTCTCTGGCTTTGTTGATTTGTTTCCTTTACGGCTCTCTCGACCTTTTGTCCTCTTGTGTTTTGCTCCTTCACCAACAAAGTCAACGGCTGTTTCCAATGGATTTTCTTCCTTCAATTTACTGACTCCTTTTTCCGCCAATTCCATGCAAGCAATTTTTAAAGCTGATTCCCTTGTAAGATTGGCCGTCTCCAGCAGCCTTGACTGGATCTGTTGATTTTTCAGCCCGTATACAAATTGGTTTCTTAGTTCTGTTTGCAGATAATCTCCAAATTTACAATGCAGCAATAATTTCTGAAGAGCGGCCATGTACTTCTATGCACTCTCCTCTGAGCGTTGCATACGCTTCCTATATATATATATTTCTGCGATCTTCAGTGGTTCTGGTGCGTAGAATTCTTTTAATTTTTCAACTAACTCCTTATACGTGTGCGTATACGGATCGACAGGGTTGAGTCGATCACACAGAATTCCAAAAGCTTCTACGCCCACAAAATGTAATAGATAGGCCGCTCGATCTGCATCTTCCATTATTTGAACACACAGAACGCCCCTTCCAACCGCTGCAACCATCTCGCTAACGGCTGCCGTTGCGGGTCGAACACGTCGACCTGGAGCGGATTGGCAATTGCCACTTTCTGCGCCGAAATTGTTCCTGAGCCCGGGCTCGGTACCCCCGAACTCGTGCCCGATCCTCCTGTGGGCATTTTCACGTTCCTTAAAAATTTTTCCTTTCGAATTGACTAACGATCAATCTCGCCACGTGGATCGAATCTTCTAGCACTGATCGTTCACATAAAAATTTTAATTTTTTGGACACCACTGTCATCAGGTCGAATGGGAAACTTCTAACTAATTGGTATCAGAAACCGACATCTTCTGGAAGATACTTGAACTTTTTTCTAACCATCCGTTCAAATACAAAATTAATACGATTAACAACTTAGTAGACCACGCGATTTTACTTTCAAACGAAGATGTTTTATATAAAATGTAATTCTATATCCTATTTTCTAATTTAATTTATAAAAACTCAAGATTATAATTTGTTAAAAAAATTGTTTTAGATTGCTTGAAAAGGGCCTAAACCAAAGGCCGAAACGTCGTGTATTTTTATCAATAAATGCCAAATAAGTCGGTTTATTATACATATTTATATTAAGTTGAACTCTGGCGATTTCACAATAATTATAATTTACTTAAAAAATTAATTTCCTAGGATTATCTCAGTAAATACGGAAAATTGTGATAAATATTTTAGACAAAAAGTTTAGATCTTACAGAGATAAACATTTTATGTTCTATTCATTTTTACTGTACGAGTGAGGGAGAAACTTAGTTGCGCACAGTACAATTGCCTTCGTTGCAATTGCGCACAGTGCTATTGAACACATAAGATTACTCACAGTTCGTCTTCCTTATTTTGGCAAAGGTTTTTCTTCAAACCATGCTGGCAGAGACTTCTTCTTACAAGGGACATGTCACAACTGTCCGGAACCGATTTGATTCTCTTTGAAATATATTGTTAAATATACAAATATAAAAGACACATATTTTTTTATACGTGCGCAATTTGAGTTTTAAGGGGTGCAACACCCCTTTAAAGAAAAACGGTATTTTTCTTTAGGATCGAATATCTACTAAACTATAAGAGATAGAAAGAAGAAACGTACAACAAACTTTGATGGCTTGAAGAGTACTTTAAAGTTATATGAACAAAAATTTTTATTTTTATTTCTTTTTTAAACTTTTACCACTTAATTTTTTCAAAATTAAAAATTTTGATTTACCTTAATTTAAAGCTTATTTTTTCCAAATTCAACCATGTGTAATAAGTTATTTTACGAAATATTATTTTCGAAAATTAATTATAAACGCTCCCATATATACGCTCATCCGTGTTAGGTGCGTAATTACCGTCGAACAATAAGATATATAAAAAATTTTTTATATTATTCATTATTCATTCATTATACACATTACAATAATTATATTCGATAAAAAATGTTTCAAGCATAATGACTTCTTGCACCAAAAACATCTTACTACAGCTATATTATTATTACAATCTTCAATATCACATTTTGTTAAAGTTTCGTCTAAATTAAAGTGTACTAGATATTCGAATTCGTCTGGTCTCTCCTTCATATAACCACTTTTAAAGTCCTTTTAGTCCGTCTAGCATCTTTTAGCAGAGATCAGGAGCTCACAGTTCGTCACTCCTTGAGACTCAAAACCCTCTCTGTGTGTTGTGTGTGTGTGTGATGTTACGAATATTCGTATTCGCATTCGCGAATATTCTCTGATTTCAAAGTATTCGCAGAAAATATGCGAATTTTTACGAATAACTATTAATATTTTAGTATTAAATAATTTAGTAAAAAAAAGTTGGTCTCTTTAGAGAAAAAAATATACAAAATGTTATAAAAAACTAGATAATTCAGAAATTGAGCTTTGAGTAAGATACTATTTCGGAGATTTACTGATATTGAATACTTCACATAATCAATATGTACAGATTTTTTTGCGATTAGAAATTCAAAATTATGTACGTGCGCACGTACATACACACGCACGCACACACATACACACACAACTCACATAGCACAGAGGGTCAAAACTAAAAAAAGAGGGTTTTTCTGTTCGATCGCTTGATCGAGGTGATCGGAATTGTGAAATCGATATTTTGAATCTCATTGTCAGAGAGGTCCAAAGATACATTGCGGATAATGCCTCTTTCCAATATTCTAAAAGAAGGAATAAATATCTTATAATTTTTTTACTTCAAAACAGAATTAGTGAGAATATTATTAGCAGCACTTCTGGTTTTGAATTGTAGAACAATTCTAGAATAACTAGATTTCTTGATCTCAATGATATCATTTCTGTAAATCGGAGAGATAATACGACCAATTGTGATGAGATCAATAGATGTTTGTGGCTGAATCAAAACATCAAAAAGGCCTTGAGCTTTAGCATCATATTTATGCTGATTGAAAGAAAGGTTATAGTTGTTTTTAAAAGTAGAGGAATTCTTACCTCTTTCAAGGACGTCAAATTCACTTGATGGCGTGTTATTTTGCTTATTTGCTGAAAGTATTTTGTCACTAGATTCCTCAGCTTTGCGTTTTTTTGCCGATGTTTTAAGAGAACTGTTTATGAGAATTTATTGATTTGGAAGGTTATGCAGATCCGTTACAGGGGACAAGAGGAGGAGCAGCAGCGGGGAAGAATTGTTATTGTTAATATTTACATTGTTATTAGATGCATCATCGTCGTCATTCTGGAATTCCATCTTATCGTCGTCACCAAATTCGGAAAAAGGAGAGAAAGCAGATGAAATAAGATTCAGAGATTTTTCGTCATTCGATAAGAGGGCATGCAAAATAATAGTTTTTTTTAGCAGTGTTTAGAATTACAGGAGTGGTTTGAGAGAGAGTAGACCCTCTCGAGTCATGAATGGACATGCTAGATTATAGAGGGAAACAACTTTACAAAGAAAAAAGAAAAAAAAGGAAAAGAGCTAATGGCGGCAGAAATGTGGCTTCAGAAAATATAGATCTTTCGTCAAAAAGATAGTGTTGGTAGTCATGCACTTTGTCAATGTATAACAAATTTGGTCAAAGTAAAAGATAGATTAAAGCGAAGTATTAAAAGAAATATAATGATATACGGCACTTCACTGATAAGGCGATGGAGCGCGGGATACTCCTTCCACGCATGCTATCCGGCGGGGTGGGTGCGGGAGAGGGAAAGAAGAGGAGCCGAAAGCCCCTCTCCCTCTTGCACCCCCCGTGTGTATGTGTGTATGTAGGCGTGGAAGGGGTGTGCAAAAGAACTGTGCGCAACCTTATGTGTTCAATAGCACCATGGGCAATTGTACTGTGCGCAAATGAAAGCTTCTCTACGAGTAATAGTTTTCAACAAAAACGATGGAATTTAAATTTTGTATCTGTTCATCTATAACTATGTTTCCACCAAGAGTTCGAATCGGGTCAGAGTCGGGTTCAGAGTCGGGTTATAGTGAGCACTTTTACGGTGGAAACACCAATAACCCTACTCTATAAAATTATACATTTTTCCACGCGTTTTCTGTAAGATCTAAAATTTTTGTTTAAAATATTTATCGTAATTTTCTGTATTTACTGAGATAATTCTAAAAACCTAACTTTCCAGGCAAAGCGAGGTTTCACGCAAACCTATTTGTCTAGTTTCTTGGTAGTGGAGTTCCTGCAGGGGGGCGGAACCTATTGTTTCCACGCATACACTTTTTCCACGCGAAACGAGGTTCCACATGGGTTTGCAACTTTCCACACAAAGCGAGATTCCACGCAAATCTATTTGTCTAGTTTTTTGGTAGTGGAGCCCCCTTCCAAGGGGAAAACCCATCGTTACCACGCATACACTTTTCCACGCGTTTTCTGTAAGATATAAAATTTTTGTCTAAAATATTTATCATAATTTTCCGTATTTACTGACATAATCCTAAAAAACTAATTTTTAATGGTTTTTCATGGTTCTCACCATGAAAATCAAATAGTCGCCAATTTTCACTGTGATATTCGTAAAAGTACGTAAGAATACTGAATTTCAAAAAAATCGGGGGTGAGTTTTCGGAACTGTATCGGTGTCTTTCGTCTTTTATTTGTACACAATAGAGCTTGTAGGCAATCGATCTGTAGGCAATAATTTTTGTGCGTAAAACTGTTATGTGTGCAAACGTTCGTCCGTCTCTTCATTTTTTATTTGTGTGCAATAGCATTAGTATAGGCAATCGATCTGTTGGCAATATTTTTTGTAGTTAAATGAGATAATGGCAAATGGGATGTCGGCAAGTGATGCTGTTGCAATTGATTTGTAGGCTCAAGCGGGGAGCACACACTTTTGCATAGGTGCATAAGCGTAAGCATAAGAATCTTGATTGATCTATAAACGTATGCATAAGAAATTCAACCAATCGAATTTCTTATGCATATGCTTATGCGCTTATGCAAAAGTGTGTGCTCCCCGCTTAACGGGGCTCTCCCGGACAATGGTCTTTTATGTAGAGCAGAGAGAAATAATTTCTTAAACTTTTATGAAATTTTTCCTTATACATCTCTTTTGAAATATTTGTATTTATAAATTTAAGCTTTGAAAAGTATTTTTTCTTCTAATAATAATGATAATAATTAATACTCTGCAGATTTTTATAATTTGTAATAACAAAGGCTATTTATATTTTTCTCACATTGGAACTCGCGTGAATAATGACGACAATGACATTTTTTAAAGAAATTTTTTATATTGAAACTTTGTATCCTATTTCCCTTTACAAAATACATAACAAAAATAAAGACGCACTTTTTGATATTATTTGAACTCAATCTATCGATTAAGACTTCTTGGAATTCACGCGACCATGTTAGATTGTGACGTCAGAGACGAGAAAATACACACTGAAAATGTTTGCGTACTATTTTTAGATAAAAGGATTAATTAGGGACTAATATTCGAGCTCCTAAAAATGGCTAAAATAATAAATTTACTAAATAATAACTGGCCCAGTATATTATTTTTAGATTAATCAAAATTAATATTGGACGCTAGTGGTGAAAATAAACTTGGCAAAATTGATTTCGACGTAACTAGCAATTTTATTCAATACTTTCATGACGTTTCGACCATTTGGTTGTGGTCCTTATCAAGTGGTTTATGGAAGCTTTATGGAATCCCCTCTATCACCGATATTAGCTGACTTAGTAATAGATGACTTAGAAACAAATTGTTTAAATTCTTTAAGTTTTAAAATTCAGACTTTTTATAAATATGTGGATGACATTTTTGTTATTTTACCTAACTCTAAAATAAATGAAATTTTAAGTACATTTAATAATTATCATGAATGATTAAAATTTACGCATGAAATAGAGACCAATTCTCCTATTAATTTTTAAATTCACAGTTATCCACAATGGGAATGAATTGACAACTAATTGGTTTAGGAAACCTACATGTTCTGGCAGATACATCAATTTTCTTTCGAGTCATCCTATTAAATATAAAATTAATACGATTTATAATTTAGTAGACCATGCAATTTTACTTTCAAACGAACAATTTCACAATACGAATATTGAGATTGTAAAGAACATTTTAATTAATAATTGCTTTCCGGATCGTATTATTAATAAATATGTAAATAAAAGAATTAATGTACTAAATAATAATAGGAATGTTAATCGTCACAATGCGGATAATAACGATAATTTGAATAATGATTTGGATAATAACGATAATGTGAATTCAACTCAAGATAAGAATTATGTGATTCCACTTCCATATGTTAAAGACGTTAGCGACAGTATTAAAAGGTCATTTAAAAATGCTAACTTAAATGTCGTTTATAGTTTGCCAAAAAAGTTGAATAGGCTGATAAAACGAGGTAAAGGTTTAATAACTAATGATATAAAAACGAATGTAGTATACAAGATTAATTGTAAAAATTGTAATGCCTCATACATTGGACAAACGAAAAGACATTTATGCACTAGAGTAAAAGAACATGCTAGCAATATTAAATTACATGAGTCTAATCATTCGGTTTTGAGTAAACACAGATGTGAATTTGGACATGATTTTAATTGGAAATCACCGACCATTTTACATAATGAGAAACATGTAAGAAAGAAAGAGATTGCTGAAATGTTCTTCATAAAGAAGCATGATAATACTGTTAACCTACAGAAAGACACTGAGAATTTGACAAATATTTACGACAAAATAATAAAGATTGTTTAGTGGTGCGTTTCAAACTTAGTCGTTGACGAAACATCATAGCGATGGGACGTGTTCCTCTTTTAACTATTATAATAATTTTAAATAAGATCGGTTTTATGTTGCGTTAATCTCATTTTAATTGATGGGTATGTTTGTGGTCATAACTTAACATTTGAATATGTTCTTGTATGTTTCAACATTGTTAAAAACTATTGTGTAATATTGTGTTATAGAATTCTCACTTGATAAGGACCACAACCAAATGGTCGAAACATCGTGAAAGTATTGAATAAAATTGCTAGTTACGTCGAAATCAATTTTGCCAAGTATATTATTTTTAATTGTTAAATAAATATAATTAGATAATATATATATATATATATATATATATATCTAAAAAATATATATGTAACTATATATATATATAGTGTTTATTCCGGGTTCCTTAGGGATTTCCGGGGCGTTTTCAGGGGTGCGCCAAACCCCTTACAACCTCTCACACTTCTCCTCCTATCCAATGCAGTAACATTTTTACAATTTTTCTCCATATATAAACAACCACATTTTTCTCTTCCTTCTCCTTGCTTGCTCTCTTCTTCGACTTTTGGAATTTACGCCAATAGTTGGACTCTCCTCCTCCTTCCTTCTTTTTTCATCTCCTCCATCAAATTTCTCTCTGCCCATTTCTGGATCCGTTCATATCTGTCGCCGTCTCACAGTCCACTCCTCTCTCTTCCCGCCTTCTTCTCTTTCTCCT